CTGTTCAGAATTATTATCAAACCCTAATTTTATAGATTCTAACCTTAGATTTATTTTAAAAGTGTATTGTGAAATGGATCAGTTATTTCAACACTCGCTAAAGCATCCTCCTCAACCTCATTTGGATCAATTATATTAATTATTTCTTCATCAATAATATTTAAATTTGTATAAGAGTCACTCAAACTATTTTTTAAAGCTATAAACCTAGACTGTGAGGTATCAGGGTCTCCTAACGCCTGACTTATTTCTACAACATTTTTTTTGAAAGATACTTAATGCTTTCATTTTAGCTATCTTCCTACCTAATATTGCAGCCACAACTTATATTCTACCACTACTATAAAAATGTTTAACTTATAATCTAATACTACTTTACAGTCTCTATACAATTCTTTACTCGCTCTTATACACAATAAACACAATGAGCAATAAAAATATGTAAACAACAACAAATTCACAATCAATCAACAAAAGCATTATGTTATTTCTTACCAACATGTTTGTTTACACAATTCAAATCTTACACCGAATCAAATGTACAAAACTTTTGTAAGTCAAATCGATTCTTTTTTTTTTCTTTTTGAGTTCTATTGCATAAATATTATTCTTCGTTCAGATTTCGTATTTTGCATCGGGCGCCATGTAAAAAAACTTTAATTATTTTAAACACATTAATTGAGAAGGGTTTTAGCTAAGTTATTCTCTTTCTTGAAACCTCGTGTTAACTAACTAATATCCATAACAAAAACTTTTTACAATCCAAAAATTGAATAATCAAGAAAAACCAAATAAAATCGGTAATAAATAACAGATATATATCCTTATAGTGTAGTCGAAAGAGACTTTTAAATTTCCATAGTTATATTTATATATATATATATATATATATATATATATATATATATATATATATATATATATATATATATATATATATATATATATATATATATATATATATATATATATATATATATATATATATATATATATATATATATATATATATATATATATATATATATATATATATATATTATATTATATTATATACTTATAATATAAATATATATAAATACATATATATATATATATATATATATATATATATATATATATATATATATATATATATATATATATATATATATATATATATATATATATATATATATATATATATATATATAACCCTTGGAATTAGGGTCAGCATGCAGCAATGCCAACCTAAAAGTGTTTGAGGTTGACAAATAATGCTGATCTTCTTTCTATATTTAATGGTAAGACTTTTGAATCACTTTTTTTTGCTTTTTTAATTGATGTCGACAAATAATTGTCACCCTTTTTATTCTTAATTCCAAGTCTTGTGTGTGTTTATATATATATACATATATATATATATATATATACATATATATATATATATATATATATATATATATATATATATATATATATATATATATATATATATATATATATATATATATATATATATATATATATATACAATAGAACTATAGGTTTGCAATCAATCAAAGGACTATATAATTTCTTTATTAATAAGTATAATCCATTCACTTTAATAAAGTTTCCTAGATGATAAAAAAATAAAAGAGGAGAAATTAAGGAGTGTTTCTTATCGGTTACTTAGTAAATTGCCAACAACATTCCAACACGTGTTTTTAAAATTCTCCTTGAATCTTTGGGAAGTTCCAAACCTTGATTTGGCAATATTTCAAGAAGATCATTAACTAATGTACTGGTTCCATTATTGAATAGCTCAATGTTGTAGAGTAAAGACATTGAATTCAAAGAATTATCAGGATAATTGTTCCATGTATCATTAACAGGTTTTCCTATTGAAAAATTCGATTCTGCATGAGATGTCTAAATCTTTGATATTGTTAGAACTTGGTTCTTGATATAGCAATACTATACTAATAGTATATCAAGTATATATATACATAGTATAGCATATATTCAGTTTTAAACCGTTTCTTTCATTATCTGTAAAAATTTCATTACCTGTATCAATATTACCACAATTTTCAAGTAATTGATAACAAAAACAAAAATTAGATGGAACGTGTCTATTAGTCGTTGTAAAAAGACTTCTTTTGTAATTGAAAAAATACTTTATTAAAAATGCGTTACTTAAAAATTTTAAGAAGTTTTAGCGCTTGCGTGATTTAACTGATTTTTTTAAATTTAATAAAGCATTCTGGATATTTTTTGGACGAAAAAATTATTGGACGCAAAAAAGACGTTCAAACGACGTTTAAAATTTTATGGGACGGACGGACGCGATTTGGACGTCCTAAGGACGTCTTTTTTACGTCCTGTGTCCACTGGAATATTTATTTATTATAATTTATTCCTTTGGCAATAAGGCAGTCATAAAAAAGCTACTAACAACAAAGTTTTTATAACGTTTTATTTTACAGAAAAAAACTTTAAGCTCAGAGACGAAACAAAAAGAAGGAATTAAAATCATTTTTAAAAGTTTTGTTATTTTGTATAACAAAACTTTTAAAAATGATTTTAATTCCTTATAATTATTGTAATAATTATCAATTACATTCAGGTGAAAACAGCATCAGAAAAAAGTTATCATTATGAATTTAAAAATAACGTGATTTTGATATATCTTTGATTTTTATGGAATAACTTAAAATTGAACTGAATTCGAGTTTATGTTTTTGTTGTCTTGTGTCAATTTCTGACATATGAATTACAGATATTTTTAAATATTGTAATGCTAACACAAAATCTGCTTCTGATCTGATCTCGCATTGACTAGATTTAACTTTCAGGGCTGCGATTCACTTAACAATAGCTCTTATTCTGTCAACCACTCCTTTCCCGTGCATTGTTGCAGAGAAATGCCAGTAGAATTTTTTCTGAAAATGTTTCTCAAACACAACCATTGCAGCTATAATGTTTTTTTTTGAACTGAGAAGTAGCATTATCGCTGAACGTGTGTATTTTTTTTACTTGATCAGGAATAAAGTGAAGGATTTTGTCAATGTATGGTATAACGGAAGACTTTGTATGGTCAGTTGAATCAGAAACTATAACAAATGTTTTTAACTCAATGTTCCAGACAGCAAGGATCATGATAGAAACTTGATTTTGACCAAAATGAGCCACTTGCGGTTCATTTTGATAGAAACACCTAGCGTTTTCAGCGCAGTCAACTTGGGTTACCGCAATTTTAGAATTAAAAGTCACCTAAACTTTTTTCAGTTTTTTAAAAATTGTTGATTGGTTTTTATTTACAAAGACGTGGTTAACAAACTTATCACGCATTGCTGATATGCCTTGGATGAGTTCTGTTACAGTAGACTTTTTTGAAATTTTTTCAATGTTTGCATATGTTTTAGTTTCAAGCTTTCTCCAATTGTCCCAAGATACTTCAAAAACAAATGTATTAACACTTTGCAAGTGTTTATCAAACTGTTTCATACCTTGCATGCACGCAACACATTTTTCATAGGCGCAATCGTATGTGTACGGTTTACAAACAAAGTTGTTTATCATTTCAGATACAACTTTGATTGAAGACGCTTGAATTGATTTTATTAATGCGTCTAAGGTAAATCGCATACTTTCAAGCAAAGTACAAACACAAACATTATGCGGAAATGTCGTAACTGGTTTTACATTGCGTTGACGAAGGTCGCAAAATTTCCAGAGTCCAATGTTTATGTGCTGATGCGTTTCCTTGAATAAGTCGAAAGCTTCTTTTAGCGTATAACATAAATGACGTTTCTGAATATTGTTTGCTATTCCATCAGATAATTGATTTCGAGTGACATTTTTTTTTGTTTGGTGATACTTAGGAAACTTCATTTTCATTATAACAGTTTACAACTGCTAAAACATTGCTTTCAGAAAGGCCATACAGCTTTGAACATGCTGCAGGTAGACGCAAATTATCTTTACAAGCTAAGCTATTTGAAAGAATAAAAAAAATTTCAGATTGTTTCTTCTTTGAAGTTAGTAGTGCTTTAAAAACTTATTTTAATGCTTTTCCTCTTTGTTGAACGAAGGATGAGCTTGGTCTTTGAGATTAATTTAAAAGTTTACTTTTTAGAGCGCGTCTTTTTAAAACTCTTAACTTTGCTTTAGCAGAATAACCTGCTTTTTTATTAGAATCGGCTTTCAATTTTTATCGATATTTTTTAGATCTTACTCTGGACATTTCTTTCTTTTTATCAACATTCCGAGAAACATAATTAGCTTTGTATTCTGCATAATGTTATTTTGTTACTTCAAATTTTGATTCCATTTCATAAAAATTTAACAACTTTTTAGGAAAATGCCAACATAAAATCTAATTTGTTTACAATATTGGAATAACTTGCCCTCAAATGTTACTCACTTTTTCGAATAATTTAAAAGAAAAAACAACTGTTAACATTTAACAAATTTATCTTCTTGGTTCAAATATTATCTACTCAAAATTTATTTTAACAATAATTCTAAGGTGTTTATACTACAATTAAAGAAAAAATGGTTTTTGAAAAAAGAAATTTTTAAACAGGAAATTTATCTCTTCCATCGTGGAAATGCCAATATATATGTAAATAAATATATATATACATATGTATGTATATATATATATATATATATATATATATATATATATATATATATATATATATATATATATATATATATATACATATATATATATATATTTGTGTGTGTGTGTATATATATATATATACACACACACACACACACACATATATATATATATATATATATATATATATATGTGTGTACACACACACACACATATATATATATATATATATATATATATATATATATATATATATATATATATATATATATATATATATATATATATATATATATATATATATATATATATATATATATATATATATGTGTGTGTGTGTGTGTGTGTGTGTGTTCGTAAGAACACATATTACTGAGGTTGAAATGTTGTTTTTGTTTTCAAGATGTTATAATACATGTTAACGAGAACCAACTACAAACTGAATCATACAAAACAACTGTAAGTATTCTCACGTGCAGTAATGTAAAAATGATACTTGATTTTGGTGATCGAACACCTGTTATAAATGTAAGAAATATCAGTTCTTCTACATTAAAAGATTGTACCTACACTGAATATCATAGGTGATAACTTTGTTTTTTGTTGTCATTTTTCAGAGAGTTAGTAAAAATCTTAGTATTTATCAGAAAAGTTGAAACCTAGATATTTTAACTGCTTTATTTCTAGCATAAATGATAACTATTTTTATAGTTTATAGGTATGTTTAATTAAAATAATTCACTGAAAAATTTTTTGTTCTAGATCTAGCCATCAATTTATTATTAAACAGAAAATGATTTACTAATTTGAGTTCAACAACACATTTCAAAACCTAAAAATTTTCAAACAATTTTTTTGGAGTTAGTATTTGTTTAAATATTATTGTTTATTATATTTAAACTAATCATAATTTCTAGTAAACTGTTTAAAATTAATTTTAGCTTTTAGCAAAATGAAATAATAACTAATATTTAACTAATGTTAAATATTACCTATTATTGCATACTTTGCAAGTTGGATTTTAAAAGAAACATTTCAAAACTTTCTTTTGATTACTTAATTATTTATTTATTTTTGACTAATAAACTGATTGCATTAGTGAAACACCTATATATTTAAAAATTTGTATATAGAATATCATTTTAAAAAAAAATTAGAAATAATTATTTTTTAGAAATAAGCATTTTTTGAAATATTAAGTATATCCAGCAGGAAAGTACCAAAGAATAGAATTTAAAATTATTAAAGGAGCTATAATATTTACAAGTCTTCACAAAAAAAAAAAAATCTTAAAAATTTCCCAGCCGACATTGATATATGGGTTCCGTGCGGGGACTACGGATTGTTAACTGGGTCCCGTATAGGAATACCAACGGTTTCCCACTGGATCTTAACCGCGGTATCCAAATGGAGCCCATAGTAGTGTGCCCGCTGAGAGTCCTTATGAGTCCTAGTCAAGTCCTGTACTTTAAAATCTAAGGATACTATTTGGTTTTGCAGCTGAGACCCATATAGGAAGCCCTTTGGGAACCCGCCGAATCTTAGGCTCGGTTTTTATCTGGGGCTTCTTTGGGTATGCACACCAGGGATCCTATATGGGTCCCACATAGTTAACTCATTGCAAATCTTGCAAAACTATTTTTAAAATGTTTAAAATTTACAGAAAAAGCAATTTTATATAACTTGATTCGTATATTTTAAACACAAATCATAAAATTATTATGTCAAAACTAAGCAAACTTTTAAATGATTTTTTAATCGTGTATTAAATGCTTTCAAATTTATCTTGCACTTTGGAAGTTTTTCCATTTTTATTAAAACAAAATATTTGGAAACCTCTTTCTTTACACAATGGTTCGTTTCAATATAGACTATAAAACCTTATTTAACTGTTAGTTATAAATTTTATAGGTAACACATACATTAATTTTAATATTTTATAAAACACCTATGATATCAAAATCAAATAAAATCAAATCAAATATATTTAGAAATAAGTTAAAAAATATTTCAAGGAAATTTACAATAGTACAAGTACTTATATAAAGTAAATACCTCAATATACAACGTAACGTTATAGTCAATGATGGAAGTAATAATAATAAATGTTATTAATAATACTAACAATAATAACAACAGCAATAATAACAATAATAACAATGATTGTGATAAGAACAATAATAGCAACAACAACAAAAATAATAATTATAACAATAATAATAATAGTAACGAAATAATAACAATTATAATGAGAGAAGAATTTCATAAATAAAGACAATAACAGCAGCAACAAAAATTTAGTAAAGAGTGATGGCAACAACAACGATTTAGTACGAAGTAGAATAGTTGAGAAAAAGAGAATTTTTGAATGAAAAGAGGTAAATAGATAGATAAATAAAGAATGCCAACCCATTCGTACTAAAATTAATAATATTAGTATAGATAGTTTAATAAAAAAATTGCATATAAAAAACCAGAGAAATTAGATGTAGATAGATAAGTAAAGAATTTCAAAATGTTAAAAATATCAAATTAAAAACTGAAGGATTACGAATTGACATATATAGTAAAAAATGTCAATATTAGTTGGTAGAAATATTTAATTGTATTTTTTTAACAAATAGTTAAAAAGCTTGATTTTGAATTAAGACATTGAATTAAGAAATTTTAGATCAGGAGGTAGTTTGTTCCATGAGCTAATACATTGATATTTAATGGATTTATTTCCATATTTAGCAGATTGGTGATTCGGAATAACTAAGTTTAAGTCTATGCTGATGGAGCGAAGAGGATAGTAACGGTTTGTAATTGAAAAAAAATTCTTGAATGATAGGGGAAGGATTTTGTGATGATAATTCCAGACAAATAGGCAGTTGAGGAATACCACAAGGTCGCTTATTTTTAATATTTTGGAGATTAGGTATAGTACATTAGATTTAGAGTTATTATACTTAAAATATAATATTTTCAAGGCTTTATTTTGGAGATGGGACAACCTTAAAATGATTTGTATATGGGATTATCCCCATACTTGACATGCATATCTTAGATGGGACCCAAAAATAAATATAAAAATATGATATATATTTAGCAGAGTTTCTAGATTAACATAATGGCGGACTTTGGCTAGCAATCCGTTAGATCTGCTGAGTTTGATTGCTTAGTCATTCAGATGGCCTTAAAAAGAAAGATTAGAATCAATTTTAATCCCAAGATATTTAATAGAGTCTAAAGAATAAATTTTTTGTCCACTTAGTCTGAAATTTAATTGCTTTTTAATTGGTGCCAGATTGGATTTAAAGATGATACGCTCTGTTTTGTTAGAGTTAAGAGAAAGTTTATTAGAACGAAGCTACTGAACAAGATTTCCAAGTTCAAGAATAATATGTTTGTTGGTTTCATTAAGGGATTTGTCAACCAGTAGCATGTTAGAATCATCAGCAAAATGGTAAGCAGTTGCAAATTTAAAAGAAGTATTCAAGTCATTAATAAAAAGAAGAAAAAGAAGTAGTCCTAAAACTGAACCTTGTAGGACGCCATTTGGTCAATTCTGTAAATCAGATTTAGTGCTATTAATGGAAACAAACTGTGTTTTATTTTTGAGATATGAAGTAAACCATTTTAGTGGGATGCCTCTGATTCCGTAGTGCTCTAATTTTGTGAGAAGGATGGAGTGATCCACAGTATCAAAAGTTTTCTGCAAATCTACAAACACCCCACATGCAAAATGTTTATTATCTAGAGCTCTTCTAATCTTCTCAGTAATTTCAATAAGTGCAAGGGTTGTAGAAAGTTTGCTTCGAGATCCATATTGATGTTGTTACAAGCATTTAAATTTATCTAGAAACTTGTATAGTCTGTTATGCATGGCCTTCTCAAAAAGTTTGCTTAGGTTGGAAAGAAAGGAAAAGGGTTGATAGTTGAAAAGTCTAGTAAGGAGCCTGCTTTATAAATTTGAATGATTTGAGCTACTTTAAAAACATCATGGAATTTGCCGTTTTTAAAAGAATTATTTATCATAATGCTAAAAGGTTTGGAGATTATGTGAGAGGTAAGTTTAAGAAAAAATGTAGGTATGCTATTAGGTTCATAACTTTTATCATTTCTAAGAGTATCACTAATAAGACTAGATACCTCATCTTCACTAACAGGATCAATAAAGAAAAAATTAGCAATAGGAAAATTAAGAAAGTCACTATAAGTATATTCTGATGGCATGATATTATTGATTAGTTATTCACGAATAGAGACAAAGTAGATATTAAATATATTTAAAAAGTGGCATGGTCTGTGATATTATTTTCATTCAGACTTAACTGAGTAGGTGTTTTATGTAATGATCCTTTAATATTTATGATATCTTTTATGCCTTTCCATTTATTTTTTATGTTGTTTACATTGTTATTAAAATAAGTTATGCAGTTTTATTTTTTACTACTTTTTAATAAGTTGCTAATTTTTTTCTATAAAATTTAAATTTTGTGAAAAGCTCATTTTTAGTATTAATGTTTTTACATCTTACAAATTTTTTATAGAGTTTGTTTTTTACAGAGATAGATTTAAGTAAGCCTTTAGATATCCAGGGTTTAAATTTAAGTTTGATTTAATTTTTGTTAAAGTTTTATAGGGGGCGCATTGGTCTAGAACCATATTAAATGATTTTAAAAAATTATTGATGGATTCATTAATATTGTCATCTTTTTTAATTATAAGCTCCCAGTTGATTTTAGAAATTTCTATAATAAACTTGTTAGGGTCAAATTTTTTTTAACATCTTCTAGAAATTTTAACTTTATTTGGTTGATTGGATGTGCCAGGAACACAAACAAATCGTGCTGTGTGATCCGAGATAGAAATAGTTAGGTTACCTGAGAGATGATCAGAAGAGTAGAAATTTATAAAGATGTTATCAATAAGTGTTTGAGATTTAGTTGTTATACGGGTAGGTAAGATTATGGAAGGATTAAATGAGTAAGAATAAAAGGTATCAAGGTATTTGGAATTAGATTTACTATAGCTCAGTAGATCTACATTGAAATCACCCATTAAAAAGATCAATTTTTGTTCTGTGCTTAACTTTTCAAGAAGTGGAGTTAAAAATATTGTATTGAATTCTTTTTGATTCATTGATGGATGACGATATATACAACCAATAAGGACATTTTTTTTGTGTGGCTTAATGATTTAAACAAAAACAGACTCTAGTAATTTTGGTAAAGTACTAGAGTTATGTATTTTATTGATTATGTAGTTCGTCATGACTTAAAGTAAATCTTTAAGTCATGACGAACTACATAATTTAAATTAGACTGCACATATAAAAGAGCACCACCTTTTTTGGCCTCAGTAGGGCAATGCTCAATATTGAATCCGTTAATAGTTATGTCTGATATATTGGTATCATTAAGGTATAAGTTGGATTAAGTAATCCCTATTGCCATAGGTATGATATTTAATGTGCTGATAAGACTGCACAGGTCATCAATGTGATAGGGAAGTGATGCAATTTTAAGGTGAAGATATATATCTGATTTAGGTTTGATAGCTTTATTAAAGTCAACAACATCATAGAATTTACAATTTATAGCAGAACCAGAGATAGTATTATGTTCTTTAAGTACGTTTCTTGAATGAATTGGAGATACAAGAAAATTTGATTATGCAGCTTGCGGATTTTTGTATGATAATGTTGTTAAGAGCTCATTATCAGTAAGCAGACCAAATGGGATGTTTTTAGATAAATAATTAAAACAGTACCATTCTCAAGAGTCTTCAGAGAAATGATTATAAATGAGCAAATCTATTTAGTTACACTTAGCATGAACACACAAACTGCAACAGTCACAATAGATGGCTTTGTGGTTATCTGTTACGGTTTTAAAACAAAAAATACAGAGTGTTTTATTTTTCATAACTTGATAGGCAGAATGTTATTATTTTTTATTATTGATAAATACAGAAGGTGATGAAAAAAAGGAGTGACTAAGGATATAATAAACAAGATAAACTTATAATAATATAATATATAATAAGAGAGTTATTGTGAGGCAAAATGGATTTGAATAAGAACAGTATATATAACACAGTACAGGTAGGTTATAAAAAATCAAGTAGATGATGTTGAAGTGATTAAATAGATATTTACAACTAACAAAAACACTAACAAGCCAATTTAATAATAAAATAATATACTTGGGAAAAATGTTAAAATAATTATAAAGAAAAGAATAAATAAAAACAAATATACAAATAAAAGAATAATGAAGAGAAATGTACAAATAATAAATAAAGTTCAAATGATAAATAATGATAGTTATGTAAATAGTGATAGTTATGTAAATAATGATAGTCATGTAAATATATAATTAACATAAACTGAAAGATTAAGTTATATGAAATTCATATAATCACTAATAAAAGCTATATAGATATACAGATAGTTATATAGGTGTATAATAATACTTAATATATATGAATAAACTATTATACAAATATATTAGCTATTCAGATATAATTGTAATTCTATAAAGTATTGAAAATAAATAACCTACAAATATTGATATATAGTCCAGAAAAATAATAAACAAATGTGGCTAACCAAAAATCATCAAAAGAAAAAAAAAAGGAGGTTTAAATATCTTTAAATCTTATGCTTTCCAATAGATTCGTGCTATTTTTTTTTTCAGTTCTTCTCCTCATTTTATTTATGTTATACTTTTCTTCTTGCTCCTTTTCTTCTTGTTTGATGGATAATGAATTATGGCTCGTTTTTTTGTTTGCTGCTTTAGGGTTACTTTGTATTAAAGTTGATCACGAATAAATTATTTTGATACTAATTACTTTTTAATTTTTTATCTTTTTCATTGATTTAATAATAGATGGATAAGTATAAATTTCGACTCGTTAAAATAAAAGTATACCAAACTTCAACTCAGAATTAAGACCGCCATCTTTCCTTCATCGCGCATCCATCAATTAAAAAAAAAAAAAAAATCTTAGTTAGGATATGTCATTTTTAGTCTCTGGTCCATAAAAAGGCCTTTAAAAACAAAAATTATTCCGGGCCCAAAGAAGTCTTAGTCCGCCACTGATGTATATATATATATATATATATATATATATATATATATATATATATATATATATATATATATATATATATATATATATATATATATATATATATATATATATATATATACATATATATATATATATATATATATATATATATATATATATATATATATATATATATATATATATATATATATATATATATGTATATATATATATATATATTTATATATATATACATATATATATATACATATATATATATATATATATATATATATATATATATATATATATATATATATATATATATATATATATATATATATATATTAATGTCCCCTGTAGTTAAATAAGTCATCTACTGGGTATGCAGGTATGTATAGACCTTTCATTGCAAAATCTGTGATGATCTGTGAGGCAAACATGTTAATGTTGTTGCTTTGCTATTAGATTCAAGTAGGTTTTTTTTTAGCTATGTTTGTTCGCAGTTGGTGGATGACCTGGATGACCACTGATGGTTACAATTGAATATAAGGGGCACAATAGCGAAAGTGGTTTGTCGTATCGTTACGTCCATTTGCTTAAAAAATCAAAATATTTATTTAAAAAAATAATTTTTTTTTCATCCTTCGCTCATACACAAAATTTTATCTATATATGTATAAATTTTAAAAGACCTATAAAAATACTGTTAATTAAAATTCTTATTTAACAATTGGTAAGTATTTATCCCAAAATAATGTGTGATTTCTTACACGTATAATAAAAAATCAAAAATTTTACAATATAAAGTTGCACATTTGTGTTACACTAACATTCTAGTCTAGAAATGTCTGTATTTAAAAGATTTTAATAATACTTAAATACCTATAGTTTAAAGAAGTTACTTGAATTATTAATTACTTGAATTATATTATAGAAGTATATTATATTATAATGCAAATTTTAATATTTTAGATTATAAACTTATAAAATCTTTAGGTTTTTAATTTGAAAAAATCTTTACTTTAAAAAACTTAATAAATTGAAGTTATTTTTTATTACTTTATTTTTTTTCAAACATATATTTTACTTTAAAACGTATTCTTTAGGTTTTCTATCTGTCAATCATACATAATCACCGCAAATATTTTTGATGAAATCAAAAATACCACCACTCCCTTATTTACCAGTTCTGCAAATGTAAAAGTGTTTTGCTACCTATCTCCTTTAAATGTCACTACAACGCCACTATTATCCCATGATGGAAATGTTCAATTATCTTTAACCAAAAATATAATATTAGATATCAGTCAAGAGTCCGGATCAAATATGATATATTCAATTGATTGGGGAGATGGTAGTTTTACTGTTAACAATCAGACCTTAAATCTAAGACCAGTTTCATTTCAAGTGCAGCATATATATAAAAGTACTAACAATTACACTATTTCTGTTACATGCAAGAACTATATGCAGACCCTTACTCCTATATTTATTGAGGTAATTCAGGAATTTCAGGCAACAAATTGTTCTATACCTAAAATATATTTTTATTATGGAACTGTTTACAATCCGATGATCATCATTAAAAATGTTGGAAGAGATATAACAGCTTTTATTGAAAGTGTTAGTTCGTTTTGTAAAAACAAAACACTTACTTTTAAGTGGGAACTTACCAGTTCTGGTTTTAAATCCGAAGTAACTCAACAAAAAGGCATTCTTTCTCAGCAAAAAGTTACCTATTCAATTGCAAAAAACTCACTAGATTATGGTGTTTACATATTGTCATTGCAATGTAATTACGGTAATGCTTCAGCTGTTTATACTGCATACTTGAATGTTATATTTTCACCACTGTATATAGAAATTGATAATGGTTTATTTGTATCTGTTGCATACAAAAAGATAATTGGAAATGAAAGTTTTTATCAAAACTTCAAAGTAAGTGCAAAGTCTAGTTATGATCCGGATGATCCAACAGTTGGAACTCAAAATATAACTTTTCGATGGAGGTGCAAAGTTGCTACAAACTTTACTAATGCTAAAGTTGCGATGGAAAATTTTAAACTTTTGAATCTGACATTTGCAAGTGACACTTGTTTTAATGAAGTCTGGACAGATATTCCTTCAATTTTTTCAGAATTAAGCTTTAGTACAAAACAGTTTTTAGAGGAAATAAGTTATCATGTAGAAACTTGTGGAACAAAGTATGCAGGAAAAAATGTTTATTCAATTAATTCCTACAAGACGAGCTGTTTTATTCAAGAAGTTTTTGTTTCTGGAAGTGTTCCAACTGTCTCAATAAAGTATGCTTTTTGCATTCTTATTTTCTTTCCTTTTTTTTAATGTTATTTAACAATATCAAAAAAAGTTATCTAAACTTGCAAAAATTAAGATCCTTTAAATAAACAAATTGGCCAAACTAAAAAACCCAGAAATAGAATGAAATGGAAAAAAAACAAAAACAAATGATAATTTTTTTTTACACAACAAATCAAGAATAAATTGTCAAACAATATATTTCATAACTATTATTATTATTTTTTTATTTTATTTATTTATTTGTCATTAAAAATAAAGAATACAATGCCGTGTTATATATATATAAAATCTACATGACCGCGGCTAAAAGAAGACAATATTTGCCTTATCACTACACCCCGACGTGCTTTCATCAGCAAGCGTGTATAACCGTTAAAATGTAAACATAAAACATAAAATTACTTTGTACCATTTAAAAATTATATACAAATATAAACAAACATGTTAAGATCACTTACTAATCGATAATCAAAAGAAAATCGTAAAATAAAAAACCTATAACACCTAAAAACTAAAGATAAGTTAACAAGTTATATTAAAGTAAATTAAAATTGATTAGACTAGTTAATAAGATAGTTATAAAAAAGAAGATAAAAGAAATTTAAAAAGAATTTAATTAATTAACAATGTTAAGAAGTTTTTGTTTGAGTTTTTGTTTAAACAGAGAAAGTGAAGAACAACTTTTCAGCTGGCTATTTAATAAAGTGTTTCATAATTGAGGACCTCTGATGGCAATAAAAAATTTAGTAGCCTAATAGTGTATTTTAGGTTGCTCGTAGTTTTAATATTAAAATCTTGTAAAGTACGCATGATTAATTGTCATAAAAAGTGTATTAAAAGTTATGGGAGCTAATTTATTAAAAAGTTTTTACATAAATATAATATTTTGATAAAGGTTTAACTGAACAACATTGAATATGTGATGATTTTTGACTATTTCTTTAGAATATGCGAATCGACCTGCCTTTGAAATAATCCTGACAGCGTGTTTTTGTCTACTAAGCAATTTTTTAACTTTACTTACATTAAAGCTGCACCATGCAATATTTGCATATTTTAAAAAACAATGTATGAGTGAGAAATTTAAGATTTCTAAGCAGTTTTGGTTTAAGATTTGTTTAGCTTTGTATAGTATGTCAATATTTTAACAAATTTTTTTTTCCATTGTTTTAATGTGTTCTCTCCACGTCATGTTTTCGTCAAGCATCACTTCTAAAAACATTAATGATGACTCTCTAATTTTTTTAGAGTTGCCAATGTAAAGATAAGAAAGTTTTAATGGAGTATTTTCTTTATCGTAAAGTCTATGAAAAAAAGTATACTTAGTTTTATTTAAATTTAAGGACAATTTGTTTGCCTTGAACCATTACGCTAGATTTAAAAAGTCCTTGCTTACTATTTTAAATACAAGATTGACATTTCCATTAAAATAAAATAAATTTGTATAATCTGCAAATAAAACTGAGTTTAAAATGTTTGAAAACTTATGGAAATCGTTTACATAAATACGAAATAAAAGTGGACCTAGAATTGAGCCTTGGGGAACACCGCAAGTAATAGTTAAGTGTTCAGTTTTTCCTTCTTCTTTGACTTGTTTAATTTGTTTATTGTCAATTTGTTATTGACAATAAACAAATTAAACAAGTCACAGTAACCAACTTTCTTGGTTTTTGTATAGATGAAAATTGTACATTGAAAAATCAAATTAAAAACTTATCGAGTAAAATTTCAAAAAGAATAGAAAGATTGTACAAAGCAAGAAATGTTTTAAATAAACGTTTCGTAGCACAATTATATCACTTATTTATTCATTGTCATTAATATTATTCATGTAGCTGGATTGCTCAGTTGGTTAGAGCGTCAAACGAAAAGTTAAACCCAGGACTGTTTTACAATACGACTTCAAATCCTGCCACCCCCAACTCAGCGCTTGAGTAGTACTTCGGTACGCAAAAATGTTAGTCGATAACGAACGCTATTTTTGATTAGTCTTTTTGACTATGTGTGCTGTTCCTATACTAGGCCAGCAATATCTTCGGACAGAACATTGCATAAAAAAGTATAGCATGAAAATTCAAATAAATAAAAAAAATAAAAATATAAAATAAGTTGTCATATTAACTATGCAATCATTGCTTTGAGTGGTACAAACAAACAAAAAAAATTAAACCTCTATATTATGAGCAGAAGCATTAAACTTATTTATATATTTTAAATAACTTTATACTCATAACGAGCCTCTATCATTTAAAATGAAAGTTATTAATATATATGAGCCTAAAACTTTTAATATTCTTTGTTTTATGTTTAAATGTAAAACCAAATTGTCAACGATATCTTTTCATTATTTGTATTCATTAAAAGATAAAAACAAATATATTTTACACTTAAAAGTATTATTAGGCAGCCCAAAGTAAACTAAACTTTGAGTTCATTACTGCGCATCATTCTTATGAAATAAAATAGTTTTAAAAAATTTTGCTGAGGGTTTTTTTCATAAAAGTAACAATTTTTTTTTAAAGAAAAGCTTAAGGAACTCATTTTTACAATTGAAGACTTAACATGTATTTCCGATACTTTGAAGTAATATTGTATTGTACTTCAATTTTTAACCTTTTAGTTTTTAACTTGTAACTTTGTGACGTTAATGTAAACGGGGCTTGACAGTTTATGTCTTCTTCTTGCTCCGGCCAATTTTTATACATGAATATTTTTTCTCATTGTAAATTTAATTATACGGCAAAGAAAATATAATAATAATAATAATAATAATATTCTTTTTCACTATTTATTTAAACGGTACTTTTTTTTTAAATTATTAAAATTATAGGTATCATTAACAACTGTTATTTACATATTTAACAGATAAAACGCATTTTTTATTTAAAACGGAATATTTCAAATTTCTTACTTCGTCAACTTATTTTTTATACTGTAGTATATCTTATAAATTTTAACACGACAATTTCTAGCATTCGACGGCAATTTCGGTCATTCGACGGCAAGACCGTATGGTCTTCTACGAGTCCCAGCGTTCCTTTTTTTTTTATAACGATCATTACATATTTACTTTTTTTATTGTTATATATTTGTATTTTAAATATTGAAACGAAATGCTTATTTATAATGTAATAAAAAAACAACACAAAATTAGTTAAATTAACTATAGTAGATATGTATTTTTAATATTGCCTAAACAAATAATTTTTTCAGATCAATTTATTTCGTGAATTTCTGCATCACATCAAATCAATTCAGAATTTCTTTGAAAAAAAAGTTACATTAACCTTGAATAATTTTATTGAACTGACACTTTTTGATTAATTCTATTTTTTTTTATTATTATCTGGTGAAAAGATATTTCAAAAGTATTTAACAAATTTTTTTAGTATATAACTTTGAAATAATTCAATTATCATGAGTGTTTATGAAATAGAGCAGTATATGTGAATACAAATGGTAAAAGGTATAAAAAAGCTGCCAAGTTGTCCTTTGTGCTGGATGAATTTAGTCAGATTTTGATATTATGCCTATTATATCATAAATTTAATATTATTCCTATTATATCAAATATTGGCGATGTTCTGCTAGTTATTACGTATAAAAATCTAAAAACATCTATTTTTTTAATTAACAAAAAGAAAAAACGAACATAGATGATATTTTTTTAAAAAGTAGGCTCTTAGTGCATATGGTTCGTGATAATTGTTTTAAAACAAGCGAGAACAAATACCTAAATATCAGTGTGCAAATGATACTTGCCAAATAAAAAACAGTTTTTATCAATATATTTCAAGAAAGCCTTAAATGTGGTGCTTTGATGTTGCCTTAAATGTTGGTTCCTTAGGCGCAAAGTAAATAGTTTTTTTTTTAATAAAATTTTGTACTAAAAGCAGTAAAAAAAAAAGAATGCTCAGCATAGATTTTATTTGGTGTATGTATTTAGCTCTATTTTTGAATTAGGCTAAATAAACACGCAAAAATTTAAACATCATTTGTTTGATGTTTAAATTTTTATGTAATTATTTAGCCCAATTCAAAATAACAGAAAATCCATTGCTTAAATAACAGTTTTTTGATAATGGATTTTTTATTCTTTCTCTATACATGACTCAGATAAGAAAGCGCATATTGAAAACCACAGCTGATTGTTCTAATTGGAAAGCAATATATTTAATGTTTTTTATGAAAGATTTAAAAAAACAACGTTAAGGATTCTTTTGAAAAAGTAGATATTTACTCAGATCTTTTGCTTTGTAGTTAGTTAGGTGATAAATGTATTTATAAGATAATACTTGTTTGTAAGATTGTACTATTTGTACTAAGCCTTTGTTTATTGCATGTATAAAGCAAAGAAAGTGATTGTTTGGGTATAAAAGACATGTCAGTTAGTTAAATATATTTCTGCGAAGCTAGTTTAACATTTTTTTAATTTAACAGCTAAATCACTTTTGTTTTAATATTGAATAGGAACCAGTTGATAGACCGATTGGCTTAGCGTTAAAAAAACATTAACTGATTCTCATTTAACTAAAATATGAGGCTATAAATTTCTGGTACCAACTTATCTTTTTTAAAATGCACTGCTTATATACATGTCTGAGTAATGCAAAAAATATTTTTATAATGTTAACAAATTAAATATAATTAGTCATTTATTACAGTAGCAAGTCAAAGCTGCTATATGGCAACAAAAATTTTAAAGAAACTGCTGATATCAGCAAAAATTTTGTTCAAACAAGTTAAATGTGAATATGCAATTTAACAATTTACAAAACTTTAGCGTTGTCAGGGTTAGGATGGGGTTTATCATATTTTTTTTATCAATATATTTTATTTTAGTCCAAAAAAAAACATACAAAATTTTTTTTTTGGAGTTTATAGCAAAATACTTTTTTAAATTAATTAAAAAACTATTATTGAAGTTAAGCTGACAGAATTAAAACGTTTAATAAATAGGTGCATATCTAACTGTGATACTAAACTGAATTTTAAAGAACGCTTGATATATTCATTTGATTGCAAAGATTGTGGCTATCAAAGGTAAGTAATTTTTATATTTATTATAAAATGTGATGCTTATTGTAAATTTATCAACTTTATAATCTATGTGCATAATTAAATAATAGAGAGTTTTACCATGTCAGATTTATAATAATTATGATGATCCTTTAATAACGCGCTGAAAAGAAACACTGAGTTTAACTTAAACTAAAAAAAAACTTGAAAAAAATTAAATTAATTTTAAAACTTAAGAAAAAAAAACAAATTTTTTGATAAAAAAAAAAATCTATAAAATAAAACTAAAAAAACTAAAACTTTATGCGAAAAAAACTTTTTGTAATGTTTTGAATTGCGTTTGAAATAAATTGCTTTAAAACTCACCATTTGAAATTTATGTGTAGTTAAGGAAAGATTCAAACCACTTGCATTTTCTAAAATCAAAAACATACGTTTTTAAACTTGAATTTTTTGTGTTTTCCGCTTATTTTCGACTATTGCATTTCGACCATTTGTATATAATTAAAAAAAATAATTTAAACTGTTATAATATATATATATATATATATATATATATATATATATATATATATATATATATATATATATATATATATATATACATATATATATATATATATATATATATATATATATATATATATATATATATATATATATATATATATATATATATATATATATATAATATATATATATATATATATATATATATATATATATATATATATATATATATATATATATATATATATATATATATATATATATATATATATATATATAACAAAAGTATCAAACAAAACAAAACTACTCTTAAATTACATAAAACGCATCAGGGCAGTCTTGAAAAAACAGTTGAAATCTTGGAGGCTTCATAAATAGAAGACGCTGTAGTATATACTTTATATAAAACGATGAAGCTAGTTTTGAAAGTTATCACCGTCATCCTGATTGAGAATCACATCACCGTTTCTCAACTACTGTCAAACCCTAGCTTTGCTTTTTTCGAGTGAATATCTGATTTTCCTAGTTCGATGTTCTGGTGTTACAGGTAATATTTTGGGGTTCAACCAATCAAACTTACCATGGCATGTTTTAGAATGTTCAGTTGCAACCGAACTGGACCGTCCATTTTTCTTTAAAGCTGTTTTTCTGGTGTTTAATACAGCGAAATATCGAAGTAATAATATAATACTTCGATATTTACCAAACCTTGATAATACTAACAAATTTTTTTTTTTTCATGATTAGATTACTCCACAACATCCCTCATTGGGTTCAAAGGTCATTTATCGGTCGTTTTTTTGCCCACATATCGGATTAACTGAGGGAAATGTTACAATTATCCAAATTAAATTCTTTTTTTTTTTTTAGTTGTTGTTAAATCTTTTTGAAGAAAATAAAAATAAAAAGTGAAGCAAACTTTTTTTTTTTTAATTTGCATTTTTAAGCTTATTTGCACTATATTAGTGTGTGCTTGTTAACAAGATACTTTACATATTAAAATATTTATATTTACATCATAAAGTAATATTTGTGATTAGTTTATGAAGTAATTAGTTGTTAAACATAGTTTATGTTTATAAATTTATTCTGTAAACAAAGAATTGTTTACATAATTAGAATTTTTTTTCAATTGTTCTTTCTCTCTTATATTTGTTTAATACGAGGAAGGTACTTTGTTTTTTATCCTCGTTGTGCAATTTATTGATCCATTCCTTTCAAAAAATATTAAAAGTTATTGAGCTTGTGAAATAAAATGAGATTTATAACATAAATTAATTATAACATAAACAGTAAGAACCAAACATTAATTATAACATAAACAGTAAGAACCAAACATAAAAAATTGATACCTGAACTAGTTTTATAGCCCTCTTACTACAGTTATTTACTTCTTCATTTATTTTATGCACAAGTTGTTTGAATTCTAGGTAATAGTTATTTAGATCCTATGTCTCAGATGTAGTCTTAAGCCACTATACTTCAGTATTTGCATGGTTTAAGGTATGAAAAAATAACCAACTCAGGTCAGTTATAATCGGGTCAAATTTGGAGGATTATCATGATGTCTCTCTATGGCATAAGTTGTAGGCCTTAGGGTTAAGTACAACTTCTTGGCAATGTCAACTCGTTCTAGCACGATTCTGTCAACAAGAGACATATCTAAAATAATTGGGTCTATGTACTAGGTGTGTCTCATAAGAGACTCTATAACAGGTTTTACCTGGACAGGATTGATTTTGAGTCTCTCACCATTTGCTAAAGAGCTTTTATATTTTAAAGATTTTTAGCCTGTTAAATATTAGAAAAACTTTTTAAAGAAAAAAAGTAATAAAAGCAAAATGATTAAAAATTTTTAAAACATAGAAATGTCACTTGATATGGAGCGCAGCCGGATATTCAGCCTTTATAAACCTCTCAGTGTAAAATACAGCTGTGAAGAATGTCATCTCATTTATATCATTCTTCTCGAAATCGACTAAGCCTTAAACAATGTCTAGAAGGAGATATATTTTCAGAAAGTCTATACCCTTTACCAAAAATCTGACATGGTTTATAGGTCCAGGTTTTCTTAGTTTTTTTTGTTCATCACCAAATATAACTATTGTTTTTAATTCGACTAAATCTAGATAATCAGACCTACATCCATCTTAAATAAGATTATTTATTTTGACACTTTATAGTAGCTTACTATCGAGCTTGTTTAAACTCAAATGAATTTATTTCGAAATGACATCTAATTAAAATTGTATTTTTTACTTTGGGATTCAAGTTTCTTACATATAGGTAGTATTGAAAAACCTCCATGCCAGTAGGAAGTTTAGAATATGAAAGATTTTCTCTAACTTTCTTTACTAGGAATACTTCTGCCTTATTTCGAGTAAGATTAAATTTCTATTTTAGTGGCATTTTACTATAAGGTAACTTTTTTTTTAAGTTAATTAGTTACTGAAAAGATGAATGATAACCAAAATATAAAATAAGTTAAAAATCAAACTGCATACACAAGGTAAAATATAATTGTTCACAGAAAAAAAAAAACACATTTGCTTTTAAAATATAACTGAAAACACATTAAAATGGTACATTCGACAAAGGTAGTAAAAGATAGTGAAATACAGTAAAATAAATCCATATTTTTGAATTTTTTGATCTTCCTTGTTCAAATAAAAAAATAAATTAAGCTTCAATTTTATTTCTATTTTCTTCAAAAAGATAAAACAACAAAAGAAAAAAAAAAAGCAAAAATAATTTGGATAATGGTAACACTGCCCTCAGTTAGTCCGAAATTTGTGGGCGAAAAACGGGCAAAAACGACCATTGGACCCATTTTTGCACAATAACTTTATAATATTAAAAAATTTCTTAAAAAAATATAATACTTTATTTTTTTTATTATTTAAACACCTGTTGTTAAACCCCTGTGGTTTTATAATGACATTTTTATTATTAAATTTGAAATACAGTATGTTATAAGAACATATGTATGTTTGTGTGTGTGTGTGTGTGTGTGTGTGTGTGTGTGTGTGTGTGTGTGTGTGTGTGTGTATGTATGTGTGTGTGTATTATGACATATTTTTATGCTGTAAATCAATGTGAAAGTGTTGAAGTGACGAAATAAATAGTTAAAATTAATAAATTTAATGAGATTAGTAACAGTATTAATAATAATAATAATAATAATAATAATAATTAAATTAATAATAGCAATAACAACAATAACAACAATAATAATAATAAAAATAACAATAATAAATCATTAGATATTTTTTTCTAACTTTCATAAAGTTAAACTCATAACAAGAAAAGCTAAAATAAATATAAAACAAAACAACTTTTCTTCTGAATATTTAAAATGTTTTTTTTTTTAGATTAGAGGCTAATTGGACAATAGAAGATGAAGCAGGAAATTTTCCAGCAGAACTTTCTGCTCAAAATGCCACTTCTACAGGATTTTTAATCCCAAGTCTTGTTATTAATAAAGATATTCTTCTCGAATCAAAAAACTACACATTTATTTTGGTGTTTGGTTATGCAAATTCAGTCAAAAGGGCTAAAGTAAAATTTAAAAAGTCAACTTGCTCGCAACCTAATTCAGGATATTGCATTATTAAGTATTACTTTTAGATGAACTGGGTTTTGTAAAGTTGAAGTTACAATTAATTTTTATAAAATTAATTATTTATAACATAAAAATAAGAACTTTTATGAATTGCAATTTTATCTACTATTTCAGTTATTTATGTTGTTTATAACATATATTTTATACCTAATCTTAGATAAGTAATAAAAAAAAAATTTATCTATAAATATCAAATAAATTAAAATGTTTTTTTACAGCCCAGTTGAAGGATATGCTCTAAAAACAAAGTTTATACTTTATTGTAACGGATGGAAAGACTCTGACGGCTTGCTAAGCTATGCTTTTTATTATGACAATGGTCAATCTCAGCAAATGAACCTTAGTAGTACAACTTCAATAAAATATCCAATGTTAAATGCAGGTACTCCTTACCAACCAAGTTTAGTAAACTTTGTAATGGGTCCAGGTGACGAGAAGAATGATTATAAAATCAGAATCATTATAAAAGTAATCGGAAAGTACCAAGCATACTCAGAATATGGTTTATTTATTCAGGTTGCCAATTAAAAAATTTATGCATATACATATATAAATATGCATATATATATATATGTATATATATATATATATATATATATATATATATATATATATATATATATATATATATATATATATATATATATATATATATATATATATATAATTATATATATATATATATATATATATATATATATATATATATATATATATATTTATATACATATATACATATATATATATCGTTATAGATAAATATATATATATTTATATATATATATATATATATATATATATATATATATATATATATATATATATATATATATATATACATATATATTTATATATATATATAAATATATATGTACATATATATATATATATATATATATATATATATATATATATATATATATATAAATATATATATATATATATATATATATATATATATATATATATATATATATATATATATAAAAATACTATATATATATATATATATATATATATATATAATATATATATATATATATATATATATATATATATATATATATATATAATTATATATATATATATATATATATATATATATTATATACATATATACATATATATATATCGTTATAGATAAATATATATATATTTATATATATATATATATATATATATATATATATATATATATATATATATATATATATATATATATATATATATATATATATATATATATATATATATATATATATATATATATATATATATATATATATATATAATATATATATATATATATATATAGAAATATATATATATATATATATATATATATATATATATATATATATATATATATATATATATATATATATATAGAAATAGAAATTTATATGTAGGTGCATCCAAGAAACGATAAAATAAATTTAAAAAGTTTGCTAGCTGATATTAGTCTTAATGATACACAAAGTATTACTAATCTTGTTCAAGGTGTTAGCAATAATATTAATAAAAACTTTGAAAATCAATATGGTAGCCCATTATTACCTGCTAATGATTTAGTTGATATGATTGATGAAGATACTTTGAAACTACTAAAGCAGCAGGAATTGTCTACTTTACAAAAAGTATGAATTATAAATATAGCTTTTCTGGAATAGTTTTTTTTATAAAAAACACTTTATTTAAAATTACTTTGTAAATTTTAACAACAAACTATATTTTGTTTAACTTAAGAAAAAATTTAATATAGGCAATTTTCCTTATGTATAAATACTTATTAAGTAGACTTAGCTTCTCTTTTTCATTTTCAAGTTAGGTGTTTTGTTTTATTATAAAAAGTAGGTAATATATCTATTTTATGAATGTCTTTATAAAATTTAGTTGCGAAAAGAATTGATTAATTTAATAAGCAATATGTTGTTTAATGACTTAAGTTCTTTTGAATCAATAAGTGATGCTTTAGCTGTTACATTACAAAATCCATTAGAGATTGCTCCCGATGCTCAGGTATTTGATTAATATATTTTTTCGAATTAGGCAAATATTTTTCTTTAGTATTTTTAATTATAATAAATTTTAGTTTTTAATAAGTTACTTTAATTTTTTATGTTTCAGAATATATATATTTCTATTGATCTTCAAAAAAGAAAAAAGAAAAACAGATTCTACATAAAATAAAAAATGTCAACTGCCACTAATATACTTAGTTATTGTATATTATGCAATTATTATAATTATTATTTATTATGCAAGAGTATAGTTAAATAGTCAAAATTTAACATAGTTATCAGATTGATCTTTAATTATTGCACGTTTGTCAGGGTACCATTATATATAAATACCAAGCATTGTTTAAAAGCATAAACTGGCGCGCCATTAACGTACGCGCCATTTAACGCAAGACATTTAACGTTAGTGGTAATCTATTTTAGTCAAGCCCCCCCTTTTTTTTTTCCTCTTAAGATATGGTTTTAGCCTTAGACTATTAAAACTGATAGACACGGCGTTAGCTATAAAATGCTAATATAAAAGTAAAGCCAAAAAAATTTTTGCTTAGTGACATCAGTTTGTAGCAAAAAAATCAATTTTAGGTCATGATTTCTTTTGCATTAAACTTATATTTTTTAATTAATCTTAATTAGGGTGCATATAATTGCACAAAAAGAAGTAAAACTGGTAAAGATATATTATTCCACGGTTAAGAGTTTGAATTTGTTACAATAGTAATTAATAAATAGTTTTAAAAAACTGACAAAGTAATTACTATATTTAGTCTTTATAAGAATATATCCCATAAAAATAAACTTGATATATTTTAAATAAAAAAAATTTTTCTGAAAAGTTTAAATAAAATTTTATTACTAGTTTGTTTTTTCTAGTTTTTTGCCAAAAAGTGACGTCAAGTTCTCTGAAAAAAATTGGCTTTAAAGATTTACGAAAACGCCGTATCTATTAGTTGTAATGGTCTAAGGTTTTAGCGGTACGATAAAAGAAGTAGTTAACGTAAAATTTCACCACCTGCGAAGTTTGAAAGACGATTACGTAAAAAAGTTTGCATAAAAACTATATTTGAAGAGTTTATTTTCAAAACGCGGTAAACGCCATTTTAAAAATTTTTTAGAAATTGTGTGGTTTATTTTTAGTTTATAAGGACCTAGCAGACATTGTGTCCGAATATATGCTAAACGAAGTATAACCCAATATTTTTTTACTTCTAAAAAACATTTATTTTCAAAACGCGGTATAAAATTTTTTATTTGTTTTCAAAATGCGGTATTTAATTTTGACCAATCCGTGGCAAATGTATATTACTTCTGCGCAAGTGCAAATATTTTAAAGTTGTCTTAAAGAAATGGCGGATTGCGATGGACAAGATTAATGCGTTACCTAATATCCTATTTCACATAGAAGAAAAGATATGATGTATGAAACAAAAGAAAAGAAAAGCATTTCTTAATTCTAGTGTTCGTTTAAACTACCATGCTTTGTTTGTTTAACTGAACGAATTATGGAATAATGATAGAAAATATATTAAAATGGCAACTTAAAATAATAAGTTTAAACATATTGTTACCTGTTTTTTAATGGAAAGCATTCAATAATAATACTTCCTTTTTATTTTTTGTTAAACCGACAATTGCTTTGTTGCAAATAAAATAAGGCTATTGCAGTCTTTCATTTTAAAAATTTTATTTTGTTCAAAAATATAACAATGACTTTTATGTTATATTAATTGTCCATTAGTTCTATGGAGACTTAAAAATAGTGATCATCATTGTTACAACTACACAACAATAAAAAAATATTATTGTTTATTGTCCATATTTAACTCTCCGAAACAAATATAAATTTACAATTGCGAATTGTGAAATGTAATAGTTTACATTACTTTAATAAAACATTGTTTACATTCACATTATCAATAAAATATAATGACCAAACATTAAATACACATATTTGTTCAATATGTTAAATAAAATTAATCATTAAAACTTATTCAGGTCTTTTAAAGTTTAAAAACTTTTCATAACATCTTTATAAAATAGATATACCTCATTTTGCTAACAAGCTTTAATTGGATATGCAGTATTTTGAAAATAAATGCAAACTTATTGACAAAAAAAATAAATTTTTCTATTAAATAATATTTTATTTTTTAACATTATATAATATACTTTATGTATATATACATTAAGAAACAATAATTTTTAACCAAATATACGAGACATGTTGGTGTGGCGAAAAAAGTCAATTATCTCAATACCACAAAAATGGATATACCGCATTTTGAAAATGCACTCTTCATTTGTTATTTGCACTATTTACAATTCTAATAAGATAAGAAAAAACAATTAAAATTTCAATTTTGTTGTTTTTACTTTTGCAGCAGTAAAAGAAAAAAAAAAAGGTGTTATAAGAGGTTTAAAAAACTAAATCATAAAAGAAACATATAAAACAAAATTTTATTTATCAACTTGTCAAAGTAAAAACATTGATTTAGACTATTTCTCATTTAAAACAATAACAAAAATAAAAAACGTATTTTTTAAAAAAGTCAAAAAGCAAAATAAAAAATTATTAATAGTACACGTTAAAATTTTTTTTTTATATTTACCCAACTTGGTATTTTAAAAATTGTTATCATTTTTTCTGTTTTTGTTTTATTGATTGAATTTCAAAAAGTTATCAAAAAAACATTTTCACAAACTTTAAACGACAACTTTTAAAGAGACTTTTTTATATAAAAAAAAATTTCTTCTATAGTTATAACTCTATTATTAATTTTTTGCTTGAGTTTATGCTTGAGGCAAAATAAATTCTAGAATGTCTTCCTTTATATTTAAAAACTTTATTTTGCGAGAATTAGTAGTTTAGAAAAATAATGACTTTAAATAGTTACATATACTTTATGAAAGTAACAAATAGTGCAATGTCTAAAGAGTTTAAACTTACATTTCTTAATAGTTAAGAAAAAATTTTGAATAAAAAGTGATTTAAATTTTAAAAAATTAGGTTATTTTTCTTGATTATTATTCTTCCTTTTCTATTTTTTACAAAAAAATATATTTCTATTAAGCATGTTGTAACTTATAATGCTGTATTAAAAATAATCATAAAGCGTAAGTATTCATTAACTTTATTACCCTAAGACAAGTGAAAGCACAACGGTATTTGTTTTTTAGCAAATAGTACTTGGAAACCTAAACCTTTGTTTGTCACAAAAAAGCGCTGGTAAAATAATAACTCGAGTTTTTTTTTCATAGCAACAAGTATTATTTTTTGCATGAATATAATTTTTTAAAAGTAAAAACCATCATTTTTTATTATTTAAAAAAATAATAAATAAAAATACTAGAAAATTTTAATTTATTTATACGCTTGTGTAGAAAGAAAGAAGTTAGTTTATGTCAAATAATAATTTAAAATGTAGTAATAAATTTAATCATTTATTAAAAAAAAATAATAATAATAAAAAAAAAAATACACAATCCGCGAAATTTTCATTTAGAAAATAACATTTCTAGATTTGTTTTTCTTAATTTGTAAAATAAACTTTATTTGCGGTAATTTATTTTACTGTTATAGTTTAAAAAGTTAATGTCCTTTAATAATGATAAAAATAATTAAAAAATAAAAGATTTATTTCCCAGCAGGTAGTTAAACGTTGTCTCAACGTTGGACACGCGTTGATTTAAGAACGTTGATTTAAGCGTTGATTTGGAAAAAAAAGTCGACGTTGAAATATCAACTTCGAATCGATGTCAATAAATTAACGTTGATCTATTCTAGAACCACTTTGACTTTCATTAAAATTTTCTTTAAACGTTTTTGCCATTTTCTTTTTGTGGCTGTAAGATTTCCTATAACTTCCATTTAAACAAAAAGATGCATACTTCGTACAGGAGGCTAAATATGTACGAGTTTCTTTTTCTGTTGTGTTTGCATAACATCACCAAATTGTTTCTAGAAAGTAAGTACAAAAATAAACAAATTTGGTGAATTAAATAAAACTTTAGTTAAAAGGGGAAAGAAAATTTTTAGTTTTTATTATTTCAAACGAAAACATGAAATTTACAATTTTCATGTAAATTAGAATTATTTTATTTTTTGATTTAATTAAGGAAAGTTTTACACGTTTTACATTTAACTCACTTTGAGGTCAATGCTTTTACATCTGGATCTCGATGCTATACTTCGATTAGTCGTTTTGTGAGTTTCTGTTTATTTGTTAAATGCAAAGTCAGCACTTCGCAAGTTACAAGCACCCACAGATTTACAATAGGGTTTGTATCTGGATAATTGTCAGGCCAATCAAGTAGCTTATTACTTTCATTAGCAAGAAAGGTCTTTATGGATTTTGCAGTACAGTAAAGAACACAATTTTGCATTAAAACCATTTTTTTTAACCATTAGAAAACCACTCTTGTATCTGTTGAATCAAACTAGTCTGTCAGACAGTCTTGTACTCTCTTGTTTCATTATCCCATGTACAACGTAAAGACTTCGACTGGTAATCCTGCTCGACTAAGCTCTACCTTTTGGTTTTGTTGTTCTTTTGGTGTGCAACAGACAAATGTAGCTTTTTTTTCCAAAGTCTCAAAGGTAAATTCATTGCTGTATACAACCTAACTAAAGCAATAAATATTGGTGTTTTAAATAAATCAAATATTAATAAAATGAATTGAGATAAAATATAAATGCAAAAACATCTTCTAAAAACTTGTAATATTAAAATACTAATTGCTTATGTTTCAGGAGAAAACTAATGGAAAATTATTCTAATCACCTTGAGAAAAAGTGGATTGCTTTATAGCCCATGGAAGACGTATTTTAATCATTGCAGGTGTAAGTTAGGACTTCTTCAGTTGCTTTCTAAACTTATATCCAAACTCATAACTTCTTCCTTTTAAAGAGTCAAGTGATTTTATATTCCTTGGTCTTTTAAAACAATTTTCAGTTTTATTAATGGTATCTTACAATTTTGTTCAATAACTTTTTTTATTTTTATGTGATCTCGAGCACTTGTAATTCTTTTTCTGCCACAGGACTCTGTTTTCTTTGCTTCTAATTTGACCCCCATTTTAAGTTTAGAGTTTGTTGCTCTGACTGCCATGATAATTTTGTCAATCCATGATAATTTTGACAACTTTGGCAATATTTCTTTGGATGTAACTTGTTTTTTGCAGAATGACAGTTAATTTTGGATTTTTACTAGAGAAAACATCACTAGATTTATCCAATATTAATCCTAAAATAAATCCAACATTAAATAAATTATTATATGGCTGCAAAATTAAAAAGAAACAATTTAAAAACAACTAAAAATTTATTGTTTAAATTGTAAAAGCAGTCTAAAATAAAGTAGGTCCTTAAAGAAGACATATTAATTGAGTTAGGACAGACAAAAATAACTAAAAGTCAAAAATTTTACATAATTTAAACTTACCATAACTTTTAAAAAAAATACAATAAAAAATATATATTGTGCTGGGCGATTAGCCATTTTTGGCTAAAAAGTAAAAAGACACGTCGATTTAAAGTTGAATAACAAACAATAGTTTGTCAACTATTAAATCATTGTGGAAGTGACGTTATAAATTCTGACGTTAAAACTTCTACAACACAAAGACGTAAAAAAAAAGTTGTTCAGTTCAATTTTACTTTATAAACAGCAAATCAACGAGAAAGCTGCGTTCTTAGTTCCGACCTTGAAATCAACCTTGCTTAAGCGTTGACACGACGTCGTTTCCTTGCTGGGTTAAAACAAGGCCTGAAATAATGAATATTAAATACTGTTTTCAAAAATACGTACAATTACTGAAATACAAAAAAAAAAGTATACAATGTAAATAATTACATTGTAAATCTTTAAAATAAATTAATATTATTTAACAAAAAAAACTTTTAATTACTGAGTTATAAAGAACTACTGAACGCAAAAAATATGAAACAATTATGCATCAAGCTAAATACAAATTTTCTTTTTGTAAAAATAGAAATTCTTTTTAAAATTATTAGAATATTTTATAACATGCTGATTCAAATTTTTTTAATCAACATGTTTTAAAGTTGTCACATAAAGTTATTAATAGTTAAATTATTATTGTTATTATTATTATTACTTTTTAGAATCAAGCAACATTAATAATAGATAATTTAGCTCGATTACTTACCGAAAACAATCTAAAAGGTTTTGGAGCAGAAAAGTTCGAAACTTTGTCCCAGTCATTTGTAAATTCAATTTCTAACTTGTTGCAAATTACTGCTTTAACGCCATTATTAAATCACGTGAAAGTAATTTATGCGTTTTTTATTATTTGTTTTTTGATTTTTTTTTTTTGTACATTTTATGAGAACAATATGTAAATAAGCACAAAAAAATACTGAAACTCGATGGGAATTAATTTTTTGAAGAAGTAGCATAAATGCTATGTTTTCAAAAAACTTTTAAAAACAAAAGTATTTTAAAAATGAAACACCAAATTTTGTTTATTTTTTTCAAATAAACTGTTTATTATTATCTTTAGTTTTTCTTTTATAAAATGTTCCTTTTTTTTTCAAATTATTTTAATTTATCAAATTTCAATTTTTAAAAATAACGCTCTTTGAGTTTAGTTTTTATTTCCAAAAAATACAGTTGAATAAAAAAAATCAATTTGTTTGATCACAAAAGTGATTAAAAAACGAAAATTTATTATTATTCATAATTTTGTTTGAATCTTATTGTGTGTATATGTTTTCTTTTCTTTTTAAGAATATATGTTTTAACAAATTTAGCAAGCGGAACAAATAGTACCGGTATTAATGAAATCTATGAAAAGTTATTTTATAGCTGCACAATCATACAAAGTTGCAGGTGAAAATAAAACAGTGGGTGAAACAAAGAAGTTTACTTTTTTGTTAAGAAAAGATATATTAAGTGATTTGAGTAATAGTTTTGTTGGTTTATCTGATGGTGGTTTTTTTTTGCCAGACTCAAAGGAAATGTTTAATGAGTCTTTACAAAATTTTCTAATTTCAACTCATGTAAGTTGTTCAGCTAAAATGTTTATTGCTTTTATTTTCTTGCTTTTTGTCTTTATATATATATATATATATATATATATATATATATATATATATATATATATATATATATATATATAAATCACCATATAGAGACATAATTATATACAAACATACATACTAAAGCTTGAGTTAATTGATGGGAAGCGTGATATCTGGATATTTTCTGGTCTTTATATTTTTGTTTTTAAAAAAACCTTTAACTCTGTTTATTTTAATATAATCAATAGTTGTTATTCAATAAAAATACTTACTTTTGTCTTAAAATTATGATATATAATCTTGTTATAAAACCTTTTTATTTTAATAATTATTAACAGTAGTAAAATTAATGAATTCATTTTAGAATTCATTATATAAATCTACAAATATAAGGCATACAGTCAGATGTTGTTTTAAAAAAAAAACAACTATAAATTACTGCAGTCTAAAAAAATTTAGTATTGATTAAATATTTTTAATCGAAGAATTTGCAAAATAAGATAATAATTATGCTTATATTTCATTTAAATCTTATTTAATATTTTCCTATAAATTAATCATATCCGTCAATAACATGCTCACAACAGCACACATATTTATAGAATATTAAATAGAGGGTTATTGCTACATGATGTTAAAGAGAACAGATAGATCCAGCTTTAATTCATTGATTTTTCTGTCCTTATATCACTGTTTTTTCTAACTGCCAGAAACAAAAAATGTATTGGTTAACTAATAACATAAGATTTAACGTATAAAAAAAAATTATCAGCATTTAACAACTTTAAACTTATTGTTTTGACTAGAAACATTTAAAATAATAAGTTAAATTTGTTAAATGTTGATAATTTTTTTTTAAATGTTGATAATATATATATATATATATATTTATATATATATATATATATATATATACATATATATATATATATATATATATATATATATATATATATATATATATATATATATATATATATATATATATATACATATATATATACATATATATATATATATATATATATATATATATATATATATATATATATATATATATATATATATATATATATATATATATATATATATATATATATATATCCTTATAGTGTAGTCGAAAGAAACTTTTATGGTAAAAAAAGTCTCTTTCGACTACAATTTTTATTACCTCGTCTCTTATGCTGTGTTTGATTGTCATCGAAATGTCAAAGCAATTTAATTAATGCGGAAGTACATTAAATTTTATTCTTTTTTAAAAAAACCGCAATAATAATAACTAGAACTTTTTTTTTTTAATTAGTGGTGTTTTTGTTTTTGTTATATTTAAAAACATTTTTAAAAGATGCATAAGTGTTGCTACAACGACTATATTATAGCCTGCTGCTACAAGAGAGTATTGCTACATCACCTATCTTATAGCCTGACCGACAAATAGCCTGACTTGCAAGGGAGTGCTGTTACATCAACTGACAAATACCCTGACTCGCACGAGAGTGCTGCTATTTCGACTAAGGGTTGCTTTGGGCAGGCAGTATATCATTTAAAAAAAAAAATTATCTTTCGGAGATTTGTAACATTTTCTGATCAGGCTTATTAATGCGCTCTTTAAAACAACATTTTATGGGAAAAACTTTGTGATTAACATGTAAGACTTTACATATATACATATATATATATATAATTATGTATAATTATATATATCCGCAGTCTTTATTGCCATTATACCTAAGGACTCCCCAGTTCAAAAATTTATTTTTACTCTAACCTAAAATTTTTATTTATTTTGCATTAGTTATCCATTAGGTTATTTTTTTTATTTAAGTGCTGGGTAACAAAACAATATTATAAATTAATCATTTTATGAAAATGGTGTTCATGACTTTTAATAAAAAAAATAAAAATAAAGAACAGATATATTTTTGGATTTCACATAATTTAATCACTTAATTCAATTAGAAGTTTTTAATCTTTATAACTACACACAAAGTCATTATACTTTTGTCATTTAGAATGTCAGAATGAAAGATACTATTTACACATGGGATGTTAACCGATCTCAAAACATTCGCACAGAAACTCAGACCCTCTTTTTTTCTGACTCGAATGGTCGTCCAATAAAAGTGAATAACCAATTGCAACTAATTAACATGACAATAAAAAATAAACCTGAAACAATGAATGGAGAAGTCATATCTTTTGCTATGCCTAATGATATTTACAATGTTAAACTTTCTGTAGCATCAAACTGTAAAATGCTTTTAAAGTTTATTTTTAAAAACGATGAAAATGGTTTAACAAATCTTCTCGTTTTCATTCAATATGGAAAAATTGCAACAATACTAGATTATGACATTATGCTTAACATATCTATCAAACAAGGTGTTGTCATGACAAAAAATTACAACTTAACCAAGGCAGCTGTATTTAGTTTAAATAATAACACAAATGAATACTCGACTAGAGCTTTACAAAGAAATCAAGATGTTTTGCTTCTTGCTGATGGTGCAATTATGTTATGGAATTTTGACAATTCAACATACTCATTGTTAAAAAAAAGTGAACTTCATTTAATGTTTTTGTATTCTGGCCCAATTCCAGCTAAAAAGTTAGTTCAAAATCCATACAATTTTGATGAAAAAGAATCTTCTGGGACATTTGACTATGAAATGAAATCATTTTGTATTGAATGTAATTACTGGGATGAAGGTGCTAACAAATGGATATCTGATGGATGTCAGGTACTTTTTGTTTTAGTATAACTTTATAAACTGATAAAAAATGTAATAAAACAAACTAGTTAAAATGATCAATCTTTTTCATGAAAATTTTGTTGAAAAAAACAAAGTGATAAATAAAATTTTAAATCAAAATTGAATAAATTAAAATATTATATATTACATTAGGTCGATGTTTATTGCACAAGTTTTTTGATGACCAAATGTAGATGCAATCATTTAACAACTTTTGGTGGATTTTTTGTTGCTCCTAATCGTCTTCCTACACTTTCTATAACAAAATTAAAACATGGATATGTATTACTAGTGGCAGTTGTACTAATTGTTTTTTTATGGTTGTTTGGGCTGTTAATCACCAGAAGATTAGATAGACAAGATATTTTAAAGGTATGTTTTCATTTTTTATAAACATTATCTAGGGTTTATATTTAAAGTGACATTACTTATATAAATCATAATAATAATAACTAATAATAAAAATAATAATATCAATAATAAAAATAATTAAAAAATAGTAATAATAATAATAACAACAATAATAACAATAATAGAATAACAACAATCACTTTCATCTTTATCATTTATCTTGAGTTTAATATTTAATCCTCTTGTTATATATATTTCATTAAAGTCAAATTATTCTTGCTATTTCGGTCAAATTAATTTTGATATTTTGAATCATAAATTTGAGTACTTTTAACTAAAACAAAAACCACAAGAAATCATTTCTGGTTAAATAACACTTACAAGTTTATGACATATTGGAACATTAGAAAAAAAAAATCAAATCAGAACCTAAATCAAAACTATGAATGATACTGTTGATGCAATTTTAAAAATAAACAGAGAAAATCAAATTTACTTTAAATTAAATTACAATAATATAGTCAAAGAAACAATGTTTTAATCTTTTATAGTACATAACTTTATAGCTATGTGAATTATCTGTTAATCCAACACAAACATTACGCTGTTTAATACGTTTTATTAAAATCGCTTGAAATTTTTTTGATATTGTTTAACGATATATAATTTTAATAAACAGATTTTATTATATCACTATCATCAACTTTGATTTTTAAATTTCAATAATAAAGTAAAACTTTTTTGTATTTTTGGAAAAGTACATGTAAACCTTATTATTAGGCCTTAAAATATTAAATTTGATAAATTTTTTAAAACTCATATTTTTATGTAATTTGTTTTATTTTATTTTGAATTTTATCTTTAAAATTTATAATATCAGATTGGTTTTTGCCCACTTGGTGATAATCAAAAAGAAGATGCTTATTTATATCAAATCATTGTAAATACTGGGACACGAAGAAACGCTGGCACCAAATCAAACATCTTTTTGAATGTTGTTGGTAAGATATCTCTAAATATTTTAAATCGTTAGAATAGAGTTTAACCATTACTTATTTTCACACCTTGATACTAAATAATATACTTACAAACACATAATACACAAATAGCACTAAATGCTGCTTTACTATTGAAATTATATCATTTATTATATTGTAATTATATTTTTTGTTTGCTGCTGTTATTGTTTATTTTTTTTAATATTTTTGTTGTTTGCATTTTTACCTGTTTTTTTGCATTGTAAAAAGATGCATTATTTCTGATATATGTAAGAAGGAATTTCTGATTATGCATTATATTAAAAAAATATATAACTTATTATTTAAAGATGCTAAAAAGGAGATAAATAAAAAGAAACGATTAAATTAATTATACTTCAAAACTGTTGCTTTTTTATATTTTACCATATGTATTAAATGTTTTAATGAACTATGAATGTTTTAAAAAATATTTTCAAACTAATTGTTCTCGTTCTATTTAATTTGTTTTGTTTTATTTTGATAAATTTCAATATTTTAAATGTACTTTATGAAAATAATTCATGCAGGCGAATTAAATGAGAGTGGAGTGAGACATTTAAAAGATCCAGAAAGAGATTGCTTTCAAAAATCAAGTTGTGACATATTTATTATGTCTACTAAGAGTACACTTGGTGATTTAGATTTTATTCATTTGTGGCATGATAACAGTGGTGGAGGTTGGTATGTAAAGTAAGTATTAGTTTATGTTAATCAGAATTTATACCCTTATCTAAAATCTTTCAATTACTTTATTTAAAATTGATTTTGTAATCAAAGTTGTTACTATTATTAACTTAGAAATTAAAAACTAACTATTTATGCCAACTTCATTAAGTTTATTAACTGAAACTTAACACTAGTTGTTAATAACTTTAAACTTAAAATCTAATTAATTTTACCTAAAGTTAGCGTTATTAAAAAATTTGAAAGTATATCATAGAGTTTATCTTTATTAGAATCTGAGCTTTTTTTTCTGCAACCAAATATATTCTTATTAAAAGAAATACTATTGGTTAATATTTTGTATTTAAATAATTTTTTTCGGATCAAACTTTAGTTGATTAAGGTCAAAATTCAAAAACCGTTTTTTATTAACCAAACAGTATTGATTTTTATCATGAAATAATGAAAAACTGCATAAAACATAAAATAAAAAAAAAATTTGAAAAGTTTTCTAGACCCAAGTTTTAGGTCGCAAAACCTAAAAAAGTCAAAAGGCGCTGCAATAAATAATGGGACAATAGTTGCTATAAAACTTAAACTTTTTATTTGTGTTATATCAAAGAACTCATGGAAGCAATATTATAAAATTAGCTTAAAGTACCAAAGAGATACAGCATATACAACTAACTGGTCAAATTTTACCCCAATACAGCCCCCTTTAAGCACCCATAGTTCTGTCAAAATATAGTATTAAAAAAACTTACTGCTTCAATAAGTTTATCATTCATATTATAACAACTGTACGAAAAAATTAAAGCACAATAACAAGTATTTCCCAAGTTATTTATTGCACTGTGCTATAAAATGTCATTTTGAAAAAAACAGCAATTTAAAAATGTTAAAATAATAAAAAAAAAAAACAAGTTAAAATATAAAACAAGCTTTTATTTTATTTCTAAAGACTTCTAATCACTCTTCAATGTATTAACTAACAACAATATTATTAAACTAAATTTATAATAAGTTTTAACTAATTTTTACTTGCAACTTTTTTAAAGTTTTAAAATTTTACTTGCAACTTTTTTACTAGTATAGAACATTGTTTTCCGTAAACTTTTAGTGTTACTGAAAAGCAACAAAGAACTTAAACCTTTTTTATTTTTGTGATCTATATTAGTATTGATTGACTTGCTCTCACAGTCAGGACATGTTCAAACTATGGTAAGAACTTGTACAACTATATAAATGTTAACTTAAACAAAGTTAGGCTCGTTTTTAATTCTTTGAGGTTGTTTATTTGTGCAATAGGTTCATTGTTAGCAATAACATTGCTGGTTGATGTTGTCAAGTTAAGTAAAATGCTCAAATCATTTCTGTCAGTCAATAACAATTTTTAGCTTGCAGAAGGATCTTCATTTTGTGAAAAATATTGCTAAGCTTGATTTTGAAGTGCTTTTTCTTTTTTTAAACACTTTGAGGCACCAATTTTTCTTCTTCTTAAAGCTTCAATTTTCATATTTATTGACTAAAGTTAACAAATTTATTTAAACCTACGCTGAATAATTAAAAAAAAATGTTTCTGATGACAAATGCTTATCATCAAAAGATAGCTGCTTATATAAGTTCTAGTTTTAATGTTTTCACGGCAAAAATAGAATGATATGGCGTGCTAAGGATTGCTATTTTACAATACTATTTTTTTAAAGAAAAATAGACGGTTTGAATGAAAAATAGAACGTATCAATAAAATAATAACACTATCATTTTCAGCATGAGTGAAAATGCCTAGAAAAATTGAAAGTTTTTGTCCATACTACCACTATAAATATACACCCTGCTAATAATTTTGGTCCTCCTGTTCTTTAATCGATAAAAGTAAAAAAAGAAAGCTCATTTATTTGGGAAAACCAAATAACTTGTTATTGCGGACATGGGTCGAAAATAAATTAAATTTAAGTTAACATCAAACTTAAATTTAATTTACTAAATTAAATTTAAGTTTGATGTTATTGATAGCTAAATAAATTTCTACTTCATTAAAAAAAATTATTTCTAAAGCATAATTTGTTCAGAAACTAAACTAGTTTGAATAACATATTTTTGTTGCAAAAGAAAGGTAATAGGCTTTTTACGTAAAATTTATTTACTTATAATATCTAATAAATCAACTAAAATTTAACAAAATTTTAGTGTTTTTTAACTAATTTTCGTAAAAAAATGGCTCTATAAACCCGTATATTTTTTTAACTATAACAAAGAAGAATAAGATGCTTTTTAGCTATATTATGCCAAATTTGCATTAAAAAAAAATAAGTTAAAAAATAAGCCTTTATTTTAATTTTTTGTAAAGCGTTTTAATAATACGAATGCAGATAATTTCCCAGTAAGCACAAAGACGTTTAAAAGACGTTTTAAAGATGTCTTTAAGGAGGTCTAAAAGGCGCACTTGTAGACGTCTAGATCATAAGGCTAAAAGACGTCTAAATGAAAACGTCTTTATAAAAACGCGTTTTAGACGTATGTTAGACGTTTTTTTCAAGATAAATTTAAATACATGACGTAACATTTTCGCGTAGTATGTGGTATATATTCATTGTATTTATAACATCATATATTGTTATAATTTCGTATATACAAAATATACATAGGAACCAGCAATCAAAATAATATTGCTGTAATCACCACCAACGGTTGATGCATCAAAGATGAAAATAATAAAAAACAATAACAAATATATATCAAAACAGTATTTAAAACATTTATAACTTACCTTTAGTTATGATAAAATTAAACACACGTATTGTTGACCGCATACTTGACATATTATATGGCTTGTGGGTGTATAAAAACTAAAAGTACTGATTTTTAACTTATATATTATTCTTGCCATTTTCACTTATTATCATGATCAGTCAACTATCTATTAAAAAAGCAAAATAATTATTAATAAAAAAAAGATATATTAATATTATAGCAATTATTTTAGTGATTCCTGTGACAACAATTTTAGCAATTGTGTAAAAAAGTAATTTAATTTAAAGTAATTTACACTTAAAACTTGAACAAATTATTGAAAATAATAAAAACTATGTTTTTACTTTGAATATACGACATCTACTTAACGCGTAATGACAAAGCCGTCAAAAAGAAGTCATAATGACATATTTATAAACAGGTCTCAGAAAAGACGTCTTTTAGCTTTGATCTAGACGTCTTTTAATGCGTATTTAAGACTATTTTTTACGCGTCTTTTAAACGTATTTTTAAACTTTAAAAAGACGCATTTTAAACGTCATGTTAAAATTGCATTTATTAAAGACGTCTAGAAGATGTCTTAAAATAAGATATCTTCTAGACGTTTTTTTAACGCTTAAATAGACGCCTTTTAAACGTTATTTTTATTATTATTATTATTAAAAACGCCTTTATAAAAGACGTCTAGAAGATGTCTTTAAAATTGACGTCTTCTAGACGTCTTTTTATCTTTTAAAAAGACGCCTTTTAAACGTCATTTAAAAAACGCATTAATAAAAGACGTCTAAAAGATGTCTTTAAAACGTCTACAAAAGTGCGTCTTTACCTAGACTAGTTTTAGACGTCTATAAGTGTCTAAAATGCGTCTTGTGCTTACTGGGTTTGTACATAACTTTTGCATAAAGTAATAAACAAAGATGTGTTCAGTAAAAGTGTATGTTTAGAAGTAAGAAATAAATTCAGAATATTTTTTGACAAACACTAACCCAAATTCGCCTTTATTTCAATTATATTTGAAATTTCAATAAAATTCAAACAAATTCGTTAAACTAATAAAAATTTGCAACAATTATATCTGTTTTTAAATGAACGAATTGTTAGAATTAAAATCAAAACTGAGGGCTTTGTGGTATTTATAAATATAATATAACATTTTTACTTATCATGTAAATTTGTTTACATTTTAAGTTATATTATATTGTTTTAAGTTTAAATCATTTTGTTTAAAAATTTACTAGAAAATGAATCAACACAAGTATTTATATCTTAAGTTTAATAATAGTAAAACTCACTGAATTTGTCATATTTAAATATTTTTTTGCTGAGGAAAATTTACAATCAAAAACTGCAAATATAACAGATTCTATACTGGTCATTGCTATTGCTCTTGGCTCCGACGAATTGAAATTGCACAAAAAACACTAGTTCTGTGCAGCTAGTTAGTTTTCAGCATTTGAACAAAAACAAACATAAATAAATAGGCAGTACTGGCATACACTTTGAGGCTGGTAAGAAAATCTTGCTTGAAAAGTAGGTATTAGATTACTTTAATCATACAATAAAATTTATATAAATAAAATTATTCTGCAATAATAACTATATAATTTGTATAAACCAAATAATTATTTGCATTAACTTTTTAGCTGCTTATTATAAAATCTTTAAATCTTTTAATCCAATTGGAATATAAATTTAGCAAAATAGAAGGCAAGATATGATTTAGTTAAAAATCTTTTCCATAAAATTGGACGTTAACAACAACTTTGTCGAGCTGAGGTACTTTATGTTCTTTTAAATGAGTTTTGTTTTCTTGAAAATACTAGTTTTAACCAAGTTATAGAGTTTGTATTAACACGATCTGAAGATGAGTTTCCATCAGCTTTTGGTTATGAGCTTTTTTTTGGAAAATAGAGGGATAACTATTTCAATAAGGCTCAAATAGAAAATGTCAATTTGTACAGACTGTGTTCTTGGAAGGAATTTATAAACGGATTTATTTAGTAAAAATTTATAAACGTAGGAACTTATATACGTAGGAATTAATATATATTTATAAATAGATGTATCTGCAAATATTGTATGTATGATATTTGTGGAAGTTAACCATTCTTTGACAGTTGTTTAGAACTTTTGTCGGTGAAAGCGTAAATGTAAACGCACCAACATTTGATGATTTTGGCTTCACACACAGTGATACCATCATTTGGTTTTCTAAATTCTTCTACACAATCTTATTTGAAGTGACACCAATTACTATGAATTATCTTGAACCT